AAGGCGGAATAAGACGGAGGAATAAGATGTGAGGGGAGCGCGGGGCTGGGGTGGGGAACCGGAGACGAGAGGATGGAACAATGAGGGAGAGGCTGGTGTGACAGAGGGAACCGGGCATCGGACAATGAGGACTGGCCAGACAATGGTGGGGGGGAGGGGCGTGGGAGGGAGAGCGTCGGTCTCTTGAAGAGAGAGAAGTGAGTTAGGAAGGACAGAAAAGGAACGACAGCGACGGGGGTAGAGAGATGGAAGTAAAATGAGAAAGGACGGAGGAAGGAGAGCGGACCCGAAGGTGGTCGTGGCTCCGCTGGCCGGCCGAGGGACAGTGAGACGAGAAGAGAACGCAGACGCCGGACGTTTCCCGCGCCTGTCGCGCGCTTTCGCGCAGTCTCGCCCACTCGGGGAATTGCGGCTGGGGATCCCAGGCTGGGAAGGGAGTGCCCACTTCGCCGGGGCAAACCCGCTTCCCCGGTTCCCCTACGACGGGCGGGCTGTCCCGACACGCTTATTCTCGTGGTTTGAAGCAGCGCAGCGAATCGGAAGGGATGGAACGGGAGTCGTCGGACCAGGTCTGGCCGCCTCCACGTTTCGGGGAGCAGAGCGCCGGGACGCGCCGCCAGGCGGGGAATGTCCCGGCCGCGCGCAGTCCGGGGTCGCTCAGGCGGAGGCGGCCCGCAGGGGGCGCTGCATTTTGAGAGTTGTGTCCTCTGCGGCTGCGGGCGCCACTGGGGCTGTGCGCCGGACCCCCATTAAGTTAAGCGACCCGAGCGCCGCGCCCGCGGTTCGCTCCGCTCCAGCGGCCAAGCGAGTCGAAATTCCGCCCGCACCCCGCCCAGCTTTCAGATGAAGACGCTGAGCACCCAACGAGACGGAGGCGCTTGGACGCCGCGGATTCGGTCTTGACAAAGGATCGCGAGTCCTCTTAAGCATCTATGTCCACTGGGTAGTTCAGACAAGATACTCAGGACATGTGACCTGGTGTGTAGCTACGAACGGAGTGCCCTGGAAGGTTTGGCAATGGAGGAGGTGTCCTCACTCTCCCTGCCATCTTCATCTCTTATCTGACATCACGCCCCCAGATTCCCGTTTTACAGATAAGGGGACTGAGGCTCTGAGAGTTTAAACAACTTGGCTAAGGTACCACAAGCAAGTTGGCCCAGAGTCCTAGCTAGACTGCTCCTCCCCTGATTCTCAGCTACCGACTCCGTGTACCTCTTACGGGGGCAGCCTGGCGTCTCAGCTCGGAATGAGAGCAGCATTTCTCGGCGAGGCGGGCTTGACATCATCCCCAGATCCAAGTCGGCTTTGGAATATGGGGGAATAGGTGGACAGAGACCCTCTTCTGAAGCTGGTCCCCTCCCCGAAGCTCAGCCGGGGTTCCCTGGAGCCGTCGGTACCTGTCGCTTCGTCCGGGGATTTGAGAGTGACCGCAGGCACGTCTGCTGACTGACGCAGCGGGTTAGATATGCTTCTCCGCCAGGGAGGGGGGTGGGGAGGTGGGACTGAGGCGGCCAGTAGTGAGGATCCCAGAGGAGCTCGGGGGTGGGCTTCGGACTGGGGCTGGAGAGAGTGTTCCCCAGGTGGAGCAGAGAGTAGGAATGAGGGGACCTGGGCGTGGAGGGGCTGGGGAAGGTGGATCCCCCGCACAATCTGCCGCCTGCAGCCCCTGCGGCTCTCGCGTCCGCCTGGCCGCTGCTCTCTACGGGCTGGCTCTGCGCACCGCGGCGCTCGGAGTTCTTCCTGGGCCGCGGCGAGAGAGTGCTGAAACCAGAGCGCGTCCCGGCGGGTCGGCTGGCGGGCCGCACCGGTAATGGAGGCATTTTGTCATTCAGACGTCTGTAACCGGAGCCGCCAGGCTGGCTAATGCGCTTAATAGGGATGCAAGCGAGGGCAGCAAATGGGAGTACGCGAGCGGCCGGGCGGGCGAGGCGGCTCGCAGAGGGAAGGGGTCTCTACCCGGTTGTACCAGCCCGGTCCCATTCATGCGCCTAGATTCTTCCCTGGGGGTGCGGGGTGGAGAGGCGGGAATAATAAAATTAATGAGTGCCTACTATGTGCCATGCACTACTCTGGGTAGTTTCTCTTGCGTTATTTAATCCTTATAAGGTCCCAGCAGAGAAAATCTAGTGATTCACATTTTACAGTTAAGGGAACTGAGCCCCCCGCCTCAGACTTTCAGGCACGGAACCAGGCTCCCCTAGTTAGTAAGCGGTGGCGCCCTTGGAATCCAGGCTGCTCGGCTTGGAACTTATTAGTGCATCCGTATGCCGGCCAGCCCTCCACCCCCTTCTAGATCAAGGAGGGACATGTGGCTCTGAGCCACCACTAGCTCTAGATTTTGACCCATGTCCTATGCCTTTGTCACCACAAATTTGGAACTGAGCCCCTACCCCCCACTCGGAGTCCTTACACCCCTCTCAAAGTCTTCATGCAACATCATCTTCAGTAATTAGTTCTTGTCTCCTACCCCAAACTCAACCTCTATCTAAAGGGGTGGAGGGAATGTACCAGTACTTCCCCTGGGTTGTCATCGACCTCAAAAGGCCCTCCACATATTGAAAACTCTTCAACCTCATAGTAGTCGCCAATGGCTCCATTCACCTAAGGACCCTTTTGCTGAAGCTGTCGTGCATGGTTAGGATTCATCATAGTGAAGCATTCATATAGTTTCAAATACTCAACTATCATGGCGTATTTTCTATTTTGTCCAATTTAAAAAAATTAAAATTCTTAAGTCAATTCGCTTAAGGGTACTTCCACCTTAGTTTCTTGAAAGCTTTGAAATGGCAAAAATAAAGATTGCAAACATTCTCAAAACTGGGATGAAATCATTCTATCAAACTGGAAATGAATAAGTGTGATGAATGTAAATTTCAGGCAAACGCATCTATTATTTAGTAAATTGATCATTTTGGAGCAATTAGCCTGGATCCTGGTCATCCCTCCTGGCTTCCCAAGATTGCCTTGGCTTAAACCAACAGAGGGTGTGCCAGTGGTCATGCATTAGGCCACTTAGAACTCTGTGGGCCTCAGTTTCCCCAGCAGTCAGGGGGGGATAAAGGCAGTCCCTCAAGTCTTTCCCCCTCAGCATCTTGGCTTCTGGAGTAGCTCTTTGGGATGACATTTCCTCTCCCTCATGGGACTGCGATGCCCCGCAGAGGTCAGGGACCATGTCTCATTGGAAACTCTTATTTCAATGCTTAGTAAATAGTTGTTAAATTATCTTTACCCATCCTCCTTTGGTCCCCATGCCCTCCTCAGACTACCTGGGGGCTAGATCTCTTAGATGGTTTCCTCTTTTTCGGGATGGCTAAACTCCTCCTTCCCATTACCTCCCACCCAGGCTCAGGAGTTCACTCTCCCTAAGAGAAAATACTTCTTTGATACCTAACATTTATTTAACTCCTACTCTACACCAGACAGATTTGCATAAATTATTTTATTTAATTTTCATGGCAATCCTGAGCAGTAGATACTACCAAACCAATGTTTTAGGGAGGAAACCCGAGGCTCAGAGAGATTGAGAATTTACCCAAAATAACATACTATTAAGAAGCACATCTGTGATGTTTTGAAATAGGAAACATAAAGCAAGCACAGGAAACACATGGTCACTAATTATGTGGCCTCGACTCCAAACCCAAGACTTGGGAAAAGAGAGAGGACCATGGGCTGCAGCAGGGAGATCAGACTTCAAAGAAGAAGGGTTCGAGCTTGGCTGCCACTCCTCCCACGACTACCATAGACAGACGTCTTCAGCTATCTGAGCCCAGGTCGCTACTGACCTCAACTAACACAGCCAAAAGCCATAAAGGAAGCAAGAAAGACCTTGGAAAAGGGAAAAGAGGGCTCCCAGTATCTTATTTAATGCTTGCAGTAACCCTGTGAGGCAGGTACAGTCATGATGACCTAATAATGAAGACACTGAGGCAGAGGGAAATTCAAAACTCAAATTTTGAAATTCGAAATTCAAAGCCCAGAATAATCGTTGGTATAAATATTGAATCCCTGAGTCATGTGGAAACCATGAAGATCTATTCCAGAATCAGAAAAAGGTGCAGCCACCATAGCTGAAATGAAAAGTATGAGGTGATTAGAGCTGCAAATCCTTGACTTTCGGGGAACTCAGATATCCAGAAGTCTTTCCCCCGGAGTTCTAGTTAATTGAAGTCATATTGTCTTTTCATGTTCTTAAATTCCATAAATACATATGTTGGGTACCTACTGTGTGCCAAGCTCGGGAGCAACCACAGTTACCCACTCAGGGACCTGACAGCCAAGTGGGAGACTCTGTGAGGTGTCAGACAGACAAGAATCCATTGTGTAACAGGGCACCTCCGCTTGGTCTGGGAGGGGTCTGGGACACAGGCCCACTTCCTCGAGGAAGCGATATTTAAGCAGAGCCCTAAAGGATGAAAAAAAAAATCTGAACAGACCCTTCTGGAATCTTGCTCGCCTCCTGGGGGTAAGCCTGTATCTGGGACTCCCCCCGCCCCACCCGCTGCCCCAAGACTTCTGGTTTGCAGATGTTCCTAGCACTGTGTTCCTGCCACCTGGGAGGAGATGGTGGCAACACCCAAGGTCCCTCTCCTATGCTGCTTGCCCCCTCTCTGCCGGTCTCTTGAAGACCATTGGCCGCCTCCTAGACTGATGCAATCTGTCCATCCTCCTGCCTCCACCTAACCCTGATGAGATTTCAGGATATTTTAAACAACTGGAGGGAAGGGAGTATTCTTAGCTATGATCTGGTCAATGCAGAAGCAGAGGAATATCCAAAATGACCATTAAAACTTCCCTCTGCTCCCACGACCTGAGAGCCCATACTTCCTCTCGGCATCAAATGGGAGCTGCATGGTCTGGGGCCAGGGAAACAGGATTGGGAGTTTTATTAGACACGAAGTTTTTTTTTTTAAGGAGCAGAAATATAAAGCAAGCTGCCAGCAGCCCCTCCCTCTAGGGAATCTGGTGCTAAATCGTTCCATCCATGAGCAAAGATGCCTCGGCGGCAGGAATTTGACTCCCCTTTCCCCTGGTTCCAGCGCAGTTCCCACTGGCTGCATGGGGGCTGGGAGAGGGGAGGGCTGGGGACTGGAAATCAAACCCTAGTGCAGCAGGGCTGCTGGGTAGTGAGAACAGCCACTTTCTCATCATTGATAACAGGCGACCCTTTCTCGCATCTTGTCTCCAGACTCTTGCCAATTGGCTTGTCTTTGCTGTGGCCCTGAGCTGTGGCCATCTCTATCTGTGCAGAGAGATGGAGACTCGGAGAAGGAGAACAGGGCAGGTCAGCTCCCAGTGCACAGTCAGGATCTGAACCCAAGATCCCACCCCTCTGTTTTCTGCTCAGACACCTCCGTTTGATATTTAATATGTGGAATGGTAGAATTAAGAACCTGGAGTAGGGCCCTGCTAGCCTTTGTTAGAAAAAGGCTCCCCTCCAGGTAGATGTCACCCTGCAGGTGTGAGGCTTAGCAAGTGGCATTTGGGCTAGATTTCGGATTCTAGTTGCTCCCTTGGCAGGGAGCCCTGTGTGAGCCGTGACCTGTCCAACCATTCGTGACTTCCCTGCCCAAAGGGCCTCTGCTGGGCCTCAGGTGGTGCATCCTCGAGATTCTAGGAGTTGCTGTAACCCCAAAATGAACTTCGCAGAGGGTAAACATGGCAGGCTCTGACCTCACACCCCCACAGCCTGCAGGGGTGACTGTCCCCCACTGCCTTTCTTCCTGTTAGCTTTGATGTGCCTAATGCCTCTCTGGTGAGCTCATCTGGGCCCAGGTGGTTCCAATAGAAGGCTTTAGGAGAGGATGCTTGATAGCTCAGAAGACACCCTCCTCCCTTCTCTTGCCAGTCTGACCTTCTGATCCCCCCACAGGTGTCCCTCGGAGGTGCCAAAGAAGCATGCCCCACAGGCCTGTACACCGACAGTGGGGAGTGCTGCAAAGCTTGCAACTTGGGTGAGGGTGTGGCCCAGCCCTGCGGAGCCAACCAGACTGTGTGTGAGCCCTGCCTGGACAGTGAGTATAGGGTGGCAGGAGGGGGCAGGGGAGAGGAATGACAGGGAGGAGTCGGGGGCAGGGCTGGGGCTGGGGAGGAGCATGCCCAGGAGAGGCCTTACAAGTATTCTCTGCATCCTGGCAGGGTCTCCTGCCCACCACTGTATGGGCACCAGCGTAGGTAGGAGGGTACCAAAAGCAGGATAGAAGGCAGAGAAGAGAAGCTGAATGGATGAGGGAGGTATGCAGAGAGAGGAGGGGAACCTGATGGGGGATACCCAGGGGGAGCCCCTTCCCACCCCCATCCCCCAGCAGAGAGGCCTGGTAGAAGAGCATGGCCAGGTGGAAAGAGTAGCTGATGCTAAGACCAGCTAAAAATATCATCTGCACTGCAAAATCAATGGCTGCCACTTACCCTGTGTGTTTGGGGGGAGGGGTGGAGGATCAAATCCTGGCTGCCCTGGAGACTGACCTTGGGGGATCCTGCGAGGGCGTGGCTACCCTTCCCCCAAAGCCAACTGTTCTCCAGCTCTGAGCAAGGAAGCTGGCCTTTCTCAAGGCAGCAGGGATGGGGGTTGGAGCACCCTAAGGATGTCCTTACTGTGGGGTGATTTCAAGTGGAGGAGGGGAGAGGGGAGCTCTGGTCATGACTACCTGAGATTTCCTTGGGGAGGGGAGAGAATCCAGTCTTCCAGGGCTGCTAGATGAAGGAGGAAGCAGGATGGTGGGTCTGGGGTCTGAATTCTGTGCACTTTGAGTCAGGAGTCTCAGCTCTGCTGGATGCCACCAGCCTCAGTTGCTGCCCTCAAGCCATGGGCTCAGTACCCTTTTCCTGACTTTGTCCAGAAATCTTTCCTCACTGCCAACAGTCAGATCCTGCCTTCTACCTGTCACTTAATGCTCATCTGAAGGCGCTGTGGGAACCATATTCAGATTATTCTATAGTCACCCTGGAAACAAGGGTATAGGAACTGGGAATTCTGAACCCCCCTGCCAGCCCAGTCTTACCTCTGGATGCCTCCCTACCACCACCATCAGCACAACGGGCACCTATTTATCGACCAGGCAACTCCGACTCCTTGGTGTCCCCAAATATGCCATTTACCTATCTCTGTGCTTGTGGATTCTGTAACTCCATCCCCCAGCAGAGGCATGCCCAGGACTGCATGGGGCAGACTGGGCATCCTATAATGCCCTTGCCTTCTGGCCACCTGCCCTGGCCCTGACCTAATAGGGTTTCCATCCCAGGGAAGGATTGGCCAACCATTGGCTACCTTGGAACCTCCCAAGTTTGCCTCTCTCATTTCCTAGACTCCAGTCCAGGGCCTCTCCTCCTTGGATCCTAAGTCTCCCAGGATGGGACCCCATTCACCTTCTGTCAAAGCAAGGGGTGGGGTAGAGGACCTGGGAGATGGAGGTTCTGGCATCTCTGGGAGGGGGAGGAAAGGCAAGCTCAGAGGGGGTGGCAGGAGTCCTCCCTCCCGTTTCCTCCATTTGCTCCCCGTTCTTTTCCCTCCTCCCCGCTCCCCACCAGCTGTGTTAACAGGCCGCCTTTACAGGCAGCCTTTACAAGCCCACTTTATGGGAGGGAGACCCCAGCGGACTTTCCCTCTGTCCTCAAAACGTTTCCACAAGGAAGACCATTAAGCTCCCGCCTTCATTCTCTGCCAAAAAAGTCTACATTTCCCCCACCCCCTAAAACCCTCTCCCAGAAGTTTTCTGCTAATTTTTTGCATTTTCCCATGGGCAGGGCCCTCCCTTCTCCTCCTATGTGACTAGAACCACCCCCCGCTACATGCCAACAAGATAAGAGCCTCCTGTTTGTGTAACTGGACATCCTGCCTTGGCTGTTCATGCCAAGTTACCGGAGTTCACCATACTTATCATTGCCCACCCCATGGGCCAGGCCTTGGTAGGATCCCCGCTGTTTGTCAGGTGCCCTACAGTGAAATTTCATTTATTCCTCACCACAACCCTGTGAGCAGAGATGTTATTCCCTGTTTTACAGAAAAAAGAAAAAAACTCAGAGAGGTTAAGCAAAACACCCAGAGTCACACAGCTAATAAGTGATGGGAGCAGTTTTAAATCAAGATCTGCCTAATCCCTAAGAAGAATAACACAGGGGGCCCTCTGCCAGAATTGGCTGTGTCTCCTCTTCTCCCTTTCAGTTCTGTCTGGAGTTTTCTTTGCTTATCCAAACCCACCCCCCACGATAATGACCTTGTGCTTTATTTTTGTTTCTTGGTGCCTATTGAGAAGGTTGAAATCGGACCCCTTCAATGGGACCCTAGTTTCTCTACTTCTGCTTCCACATTCTGAGCAATCTCTCGTTCCCCCATTCTCGGGTCACTAAAACCATGCTCTTTCTGCTTTCGGAACAAGGAAAGATACATCCTCTTGGGATTCAGACTGGCTCGAGTTCTCTGCCCTGGGCTGGAAGGGGTGAAGATCTGCTCTGTGCCTCTCCCCTCTCCGTACAAGAAGGAGAGGACCCTGGCACCCCTGGTCCCTCCCCTTATTCTGGAGCTCACATCTATTCATTAAGAGCATGAGTCAAGAGTAAGCTTGGAAGTCTCCTCTTCATGCCATTTGAAAGGGCAGAGGACGATATATGCAAGTCTTTCTTGCTTTCTAGCTTCGGTCTCTCCTGCTGTACCTGAACTTGCTTGCCAGGAGTCTCAGCCCACCCTCAAGAGCCAAGCCCTTCGGCAGCATACAGGAGTGCCATGGGTGGGAACTTCTACTGTCTAACTGGAGTCACTCCCATTCAGACCACACCTGAGCCCCGACCTGTGCGCAGAGGCATGGAAGGGCAGCTGAGGCAGGAGGCTCTCTGGTGAAGGCCCCGGGCCTGGGCTGGGTTCACAACCCTGCTCTGGCCCGCAGGGAGGGCTGGGTGAGAACCACGCTCAGATTATTCTTTAATCTTGCTGGGAACAAGGGCACAGGGTTGGGAACTCTAAGAGAATATGCCAATAAATTTACCTGCACCAGCTGGGTTACCCTGCAAAGCCTCAGGACCAGCATGGCTGGGGGCCTGGAGCATGGAGCTGCTGGTCCCCTTCCTTCTTCCTACTGGGTTGCCAGTTTTCACAGGCCTGGGATCAGGGACCCAAGGAGAGAGGGTGGGTGTCAGTGAGGGAGCCAGGCTACATGAGGGGGTCAGCCCCCTGCGTGGGGGAACGGAGGGATGGAGGGCCTGCAGCACCCTCATGCCAAGTGTCCCAAGGGTAGATGACTAAATTCTGGGCCCACAGCTCCCCCGCCCGTTCATCTGCCCTCAGGTGTGACGTTCTCCGATGTTGTGAGCGCCACCGAACCATGTAAGCCGTGCACGGAGTGCGTGGGCCTGCAGAGCATGTCGGCACCGTGTGTGGAGGCCGACGACGCCGTGTGCCGCTGCGCCTACGGCTACTACCAGAACGAGACGACCGGCAGCTGCGAGGCGTGCCGCGTGTGCGAGCCGGGCTCGGGCCTCATGCTGTCCTGCCAGGACAAGCAGAACACCGTGTGCGAGGAGTGTCCCGACGGCACGTACTCCGACGAGGCCAACCACGTGGACCCGTGCCTGCCTTGCACCGTGTGCGAGGACACGGAGCGCCAGCTGCGCGAGTGCACGCGCTGGGCCGATGCGGAGTGCGAGGGTGAGCGAGTGGCCAACTGGCTGCAGGCGGGGGAGGGCGCCCCCTAAGGGTCGGGCAGAGCCAAGCTTGGCCTTTAGCCAGAGGACACTCTCCTTGAAATCGGACAGAGGAGATGGCCCTCCATCCTTCTCATCAAAGGCCCTCTTTCAC